TGTTACATTAGTTGAGATATTAGCTAGATTATGACAACTTTATATCATTACATCACCCATCATGATCACTGATTGTCCTTGTTCATAAGAAAGGATAGAATTATTTTTGTGATAACAACTGAGTTATCAGTAAAGGTAATATTGTAAGTTATAGGCTTTTATAATTATATGATACTTAACTGTGTCTTGTCAATAACGAAGTCAGGAGTGCCGTTTTGCTTTCAAAGCGGAATTTCGACGTATAGATCAATACTCATTCTTCGTTAGTCTTAGAAATGTAGGTATATTTATAGTTGTCTGATTTATCGTGAAAGTCTCATTAATCTTGGCAGATGGTAGGTAGGTAATTGACGAAATTTAATCATAGATAAAGAAAAGTCTCGTTTTGTTTTTATCATGTTTCAAAAGTATTTTAAAATATTACCTACAATAGCACAAATCATATATAGTCTAAGTTCTAGGTGAAATATAGAATTAACTAGTGTCTGAATATTAGGCATATAATAATTTATAGAGTTTTGGTTCAGTAATGTTGATTACTTATAAATTAATCTAAATCCTTACAATGATCACATCTTCTGGGATCATCGAGTAAGTAATAGTGAGGTTAAACGCAGGGTATTAAGGAATGATGGTATATCAATTGATGAGGTTGTAAATCTTCATCGACTGAGATGGTTGGGCCACGTGTTACGTATACCTGAATACTGTTTACCACGACGTGCAATTCTGACTAGTGTTAGGGATGGTTAGAAGAAAGTTTGGGGCGGTCAAACCAAAACATGGCATCACACCCTGAAGTCACTAACTTCTAACCTTAGCCATGTTAGTAGATGCAGACTACTTGGTTGATGTCTGCGCGATTGTCGTAACCAATGGTTTTAGACTCTAGTTGATATGGCTCAGAATTGATCACCATGGCGTCGGTGTATACACTCTCTGTCTTCCCTTAAACCGTGAGATTAAAATAACTTTATGCCTTTCTTTGTACAAACTGTATTATATTCTTCTACGCAATCTTTCTTTTTATATATTACTATCATTGAAGTAACAACTTCTATAAATATTGTGTTCATCTTATTGTGCTAATGAGGTATGACAACTTGGACCGATGCATATATGTGCCTGATCATACGTTGTAGCTGACTAACTGAAATCCTTACAATAAACTAGACACTACAGCTCAAGTTGTAAAGATTTAATTACTGTTCAATCTAACTCACTATTTTCTCCATTATATTCAGCATATTAGTTCATAGTCAAATCAATAAGTCTAAATGAATTGGAGTTATATGAACGTGTTAATCATGTTAGAGCTTTATAACATGTCAATTATCATAATTCATGTTTGACTTCAAATTTCAATGGTCATTAATTTAGTAATTATTATCTTGAATCATCTAAAGAATATCTGATCATTCAATTTCGTTTATATACTTTACTATTGATAATATTCCCATCACTTTAAGTTAATTTATGTTATGTGTTATTCTTTTAAAATTCAAAATGTTCACTGATGTAAAATAAGTAGGTTGTAGAAAAAAAGCTAGAACAGGTTCCGTGCAATTATTGTAACCAATGGTCGGTGAAATCGATTGGTGGGGTTATGAGTTGGTTACAATTCCACAGATGCATTCACTTTTTGTCTCTTTGATAGAAAAGTTAAGTATACTATTTATTTATGCCTGTCTCTACAACTTTAGGTTTAAGATTATTTTTTCTTCAATCATGTTCCTTATGGCTAATCGTTTTTACTATCACCGGTAGTAGTATCTTTACCTTGGCAATTTTATCTCATTGTGTTAATGTTTTTATCTGACAAATCGATCCAGTAAATATATTTTTTGCCATGTTTTACGTTGATTACGACTAATTATTTGGTAACTCAAAATCAAGGACTCAGCTCACGAGTCTATTATTTATTTGAACACATAAATATTGCTACAAAGGGGCCCCAAACCACACAAGTCACTTGATTTGTGTGTGAGATTTGATACCACCTAGGTGCCCACACCGAAGCAGGTGGTTTTCTTATGGAGCCACACCCGGAGCCTTTGAACTAAAGATCTGATCCACAAGGCAATGAAGCAACGTAAGAAGATGCAGTCCCATGGTAGCCGGTGACCAATAATAGGTTCATACGCCATTTATTCCCTCAGGATACTGGAGCCCTTTTGCACCATTGGTTTGGAATGAGTGTTTTCCAACTCCTCTAGGTGGATCATCCGTGTCCACTAACGCGGTTAAAACCCCGGATACTCGCTTTTCGTCCTCTCACTTTCATAAACAACACTCCCATCTCGAAAAGGAATTGAGTAAGTCTCTGCTGTCAGTAGTTGTATACACGTGTCCATGTCAGAGCATTTGGAGAGGAAAAGCTGACTCTCTCCACCCCCTACCGTACCATGGCATTTGTGGGCTACACGATTCTATTATTTCAAATAAATTGATTGTGTGTCATGATTGCATAATCTGTACCATGGAAAGCTATCATTTCAATTTGAAATAAAAACATTTTTTGTCCATATGTACTTATGTATATTGTCTTCGTATATGTATCTAAAAAAAACCCAATAAATAAAGTGTACTTCTAAACATATCTGTTTCATATTTTGCCTTAAAAAAAACAACAAAAATAATAAATTTCTAACACTGTGTATATTAGTCGGTTCAAATATGCAGAGAGAGAGAGAGCTTCATTAGAGAATAGATAATTTGCCTTTAACAAATTAATACAATTTAACAATTATAAATTAGTATCAATCTAATGATTAGATTATGATCAAATGATATAATAACTAACAAGTCTAAGCATGTTACTATCTGATGTTTGTCAAAGATTATAATCATATCTATTATATTTGTGTAGTTTTGTCAGTATACGTGACACCTTGTTAATAAATCTATGTGTGTTCTTGTTTGTTTTTATAAATATAATGAACTGACTAGTTCAATTTTCATGTGTATTTATATCAGAATTATGATGATCAATTTGAATATGATCATCTATATGAATTGATTATGTAATATTTTCTCTATTTATTATTGTCTTAATTAATGAATTATTTATATGGACATAAATTTTACTTAAAAGAACTATTTCAATTAAATGATTATATATGAAAAATATATTTGAAATAACCTCAGCGAATTTCCGGCGCTTTAACCGGATCCCAAACCAATGGTGCACATGGGCTCCAGTATCCTGATGGAACAAATGGCGTATGAACCAATCGTTGGTCACCGGCTACCATGGGACTGCATCTCCTTACGATGCTCCACTGCCTTGTGGGTCAGACGTTCAGGTCGAAGGCTCGGGGTGTGGCCCTCTAAGAAAACCACCTGCTTCGGTTTGGGCACCCGAGCAGTATCGCAGCTCTCACACAAATCAATTGAGATTTGTGTGGCGCATATGTATTTGGTGCCTCCTTGTACTAATACCTATGTGTTAAAATAAATAAATAACCTCAGTGATTGAAATTTAAATAATTCCAACGTTTCGTCCAGCTAACTTGTCTGGACTTCTTCAGATTATTACCCTGAAGAAGTTCGGACAAGTTAGCTGGACGAAACGTTGGATTTATTTAAATTTCAATCACTGAGATTATTTCAAATATATTTTTCATATATAATGACTTCTCTATACTCGGCGTCCAATTTCTGTCAAACTATTTGTTCTAATCTTGACGAATATTCGTATAAATTGTTTCCCAATCGAATTATATTTCAATTAAATATGGATGACATAAGAAATACATCAAATCGATGTAAAAAAATAACACATTCCAACAACTTCAGTCTATAACTAATCTAAACAGAATAACAAGCTAGCCTACTATTACTACCAATATGCAAAATAAAATGTAACACGGTTTGATAAATCGAATATAACAGAGAATTATCTTTAATTTTAATAGTTGAGATCATGAATCGATTGATGTTAGACTACCATTGAAAATCTGGAAACACTGGACGGCCGTTTCGTCTTACAGTGGAACTCTTCAACAATGCGCATCCATGATCCCGCTGCTCAAGATTCGAACCTAGGATTTATCAGTCTCGCACGCGACCGCTTAACCATTAGACTACTGGTCCAGCATCCAACGGTGTTAATGTCTAAATCTAACTAATCCACGAAATTGGGTGACATCCACAATTGGCGGGATTGTAGATGCGCACTTCTGAGTAGTCCTACAGTAGGACGAAATAACCGTCCAGTGCTTTCAGGTTTTCCATGGTGGTGTAGCTTCAATTGACTTATGATCTCAACTATTAAAATTACTATGATATCCACAAAATCCCTTCTGAAATTATTCTTACTCCATAACAAATCTAAATGAAAACAATATTTAATAAAGTTCATTTACACACTAAATGAATATAAAGTATTGAATATTTTCCATCGGTTAACTTTATTGGTTTTTATTGTTTCAATACTCATTTTACTTTTATGAACTTATCTTTAATTAATTATCCACCTATTACCTCATTTTATATCAATCATGACCTAATTGTACATAAATTTTCATTTCTTATTTGCTGTTCTAATGTATATGACTATACAATTAAGGCATGTAAACCTGTTAGTTTTTGAGTTATAGTGAATAGAAATAAATAAGTGAAATAAAAAGAATGACAGATAGAGAATGATTTAGTTGTCTTTTATGATCATTATGATGGAAGAATCTAGGTGAACCAATAAATGTATGTAGGATTTAACGATCATTTGCTTATTGATAAAAGAAAATATCATCAGTTAGATATTGACGTAATTTTAGTTGGATCTAAGATTAAACAATCCAACCGACTACATGAGAAAATGCGAAATAAAAATGTTTGATTCATAATAGAGTATATGTAAGTTCATCTGGTATTAAATAGTGTTTACCTAATTACATTTTGTAAATGTAAATAGTTTATTGTGTTTTATTTCTCTTTCCTTCTCACTGCTTGCCGCCCATTTCACCATGAATACCAATCACATCGTCTTACTTTTTCAGTTTAACAACGAATGACGAACGACTTGCAACATACGATAATATGGTAAGTGTAATTGTTTTCGCTTTTTTTTTCTTTGTCTACATTCGTTTAGTCTAATTTATAAATTAAAAAGTAATAGAGAAAATTCGTCTAAAAACAGACTTATTAAAATACTCAGAAATTATGTTGTAGTCTTTTCAACGGTTTCGTTCATATAGAATTATCATAACTATTAGTAATCAAAGATTTTAGTTGACGTGGTTCATTTTTTGTCTTTCGACGGATCCGACGTTTCCAAATTACTATATGATCTTTTTTATTTTGTCGATCCATGTTTTTCTTCTTGAATCTTGTCTTTGATGCCTAATCTGTCTTATTGTCAGTAATACTGTTTTTCCTACTGCTCTGGGACAATTTTATCTCACTTAGGTTGAGCGTGATAACTTAAACAGGTGTACATATGCGGCAGATTATGCATTATGTACGTTCGACTGATTCTTGGTATGACCTAACCAATAGTTAAATTCAATTGTTTAATAATTGAAGTCACTTTGCTTTCAGTCAGTGGGTGGTTACTGGTTCCAACCACACTCCACCTGCTTCATCTGTGAAGCTTAAGACAGAGGACTACTAGCTCTCTCTCTCATGCACAAAAAACATGGTTCAAAACCGAGTACATAATACCTTTAGTTGGGAGATGAGTTGGATCATCCAAAAATCCGGTAATACATACTCATTCGAGTTCACTCAAATTATCTTACTAACCGTTTTTGATGTATAGTTTCGTTTAGGAAATATACGTATGTTTGTATATTGAATGTCGAGTATTATAAACTGTAATCAAACTACGTCGTGGTTGAACAACCAATAATCCCATCACTCTGTTGGATGCCTGGCCTAGCCTTCTTCTAGCCTACTACGATATACCCTACGTTAATATACACCTTGATTGACCAAGTGTAAAATATACCCCCAACTACCCTTGGTCGATAAAGTCTCACGTCCTCACCAAGCAAACTCATCGTCATTACCCAGTTCCTTGCATGACAAGTCTTACCAATAAAAAAATTCTAGTTATTTTGAATTATAATCTATCTGTAACAATCAAAAATTGTCATAAATCCAAACAATATATCAGATCATGAAAACATAAAGCGTAAACAATATTCAATTAGTTCAGGGCGATATCATCACAGTTTCCAGTTGACAATAGTGTACAAAAAGATCAAGTTGAAAGCATAACTTTTCAATCGATTGTTCGAACGTAAAGAATTCGACAGGTTCTTTTTCACTTGTAAATAAAAATAAAATGACACTTATCAATGCTTCTGAGTGATTATTATTATTACTATTTAATATTTAAACACATAAACATTGATACAAAGAAGCACCAAATAGATATGCGTCACATAAATTATTCGGTTAATGTGAGGGCTAGGATACTGCCCGGATGCCCAAACAGGAGCAGGCGGTTTTCTTAGGGGGCCATACCAGGAGCCTTTGACCTAAAGGTCTAATCCACAAGGCAGTGGAGCAACATAAGGAGATGCAGTCCCATGGTAGCTGGTGACCAATATTTTAAATGTAACTGACTTTATACTGTATGTTTTACCGTTCAGGTCGAAACAATTATTCATTACAATGTGTGTTGTTTTACATAAGCTGTTAACAAATATTTCGGATAAAGTCTTGTATACAATTTCAATGGAAGTTTAGTTTTCTCTATTGTACTTTGTTTGTAAAATGTAGATTACTAGTATTTGATCATAGATGCTTTCTAAGTGTTTCTCCTGTTTGCTGAGACTAACGAGTGAGCTATTCTGTGGTTGAGCATATGGTACTAGGCAAAGATGGGAAAACCGATTAATAAAATTATGTCTTCATCTACTTCACTAATTGGGGTATGTGCTACGTGTTTTTGTAGAATCAGTAGATTTCTGGTTGGCATCAGAATCCAGGACTCATTTCGTCCTATTTGGACTTGTCTGCTTCATGTGCTAGTGCTAATATTCGCTTTTAATTTCAGGCGCCTAAAGCATTATCCAATGTGCTACTCAGTCCAAGTAGCCACTCACTTGTGAAACGGTTAAGATATTTGTATCATTATTAGAAAAGAGTTGAATTATACCGTTGTTACATGTTCCCAACCTACACCTATCTTAGTGTTAGTTGTTGGTCGATGTGGTAGTCGGCTGGGAAAACTTGAACGTGCTATCTCTTCATGAAGTCACTGACTGTTGAACTGAACTATATTGGTAGATGCAGGCTACCCGGTTGATATATGTACGATTTTAGTAACTGTTGATCAAAAACGCTGGTGAACCCATTTTAGAACCGGTCTCCTCAGCTCAGATGCATTCACTCTTTATCCTTATTTGAATATTAAATATGAAAATTATCCTACACATTTTATTTTGTAAATTCATTCGCTTTTTTCGAGTTTTATTTTCTATACCTGGTGTCTTATTTACCACCATTAATACTTCATCATGGTAATTCATTACCGATACAGTAATGTAGTGTAGCAACATGAGCCGATGCACATATGCACCTGATTTTACGTTGCTTATAACTACCTGACTAAAACATAAAAGGCGATATCGTTAATTAAAAATCAGTGTTATTGCTACAAACACCTCAGGTTCTTGAAATCTAAGTTATTGATTCGGTTATTATATCTATATTGATGATCATTCACTGTTGAATTTGAGGCGATGTAATTTCTTTTTCCAGTCAGTTTAAACTAAATTATAATTTGACTTGAATCTATGTACATTGTATGACTAATCATATGGTATTTTTCGCCTATTTATCTCTCAGACAATAATACTTACATTGTACTGTTCATCAATACTAATCTGTTTGATTATTTCTAAGTGATGAGCTAGCTAAACACAATTTATATATATTGGTTCAGTCAATTAAACACTTCGTATTATTATTATTATTATTGTTCAATGTTGTTGTCGTCGAAAAAAAGCACACACCTACTACTTAGTTGGTACCTTTTTATATTGTCTAAAGGAAACGTTTTAACTTTAAAGGTTTGTAAAATCATCACTAATGAATCATTCATCAATTTATTTAAAGTTCTGTATATTTTGAAATGTAAGGTGTGTGTATGTGTGCAGCCCGGAAAACCTGATATTTCAAGTTATTCTTGTTGCTTTCGTCGTCATCGCTGTCGAGGTGATGGTGATGATGTAATAATTCATGGAAAATGCTCAAGATAGCGAATGTGTCCGCTGATACATATATATCTTTCGGATTTTTCATTGATCTAAATTGATCCCTGTTAATCGATAATACTCGTAGTAGTTATATGTGATCAAACTTAACAACACATGTCACTACTGGGGTTTATGGAGATTATTGAATTTTATAGTTAACATCATGGACTGATTCTGGTTAAACAACTGTATAAAAATAGGAAGTAATAGACAGTTATTTCGTCCCGACATGGAATCCCTCTGAAGTGCATGCACCTATGATCCAACCGCAATACTAAAGGTCTTGCGTCCGATCCCCATTATGATTGTGGATACATATTGTTAATAAGTCTCATACAATAACAGAACACCTGTAGGGCTTTTTGATTTCCAGTGGTTGCTTAACTTAGGTCCGTCCGTGATGCGAACCACAGGAAAGCTACTTATTCTTATTCGGCTGCGTTGACATATTGACTAAAATACCCGACTCAACTACCATTATTATTTTCAGGCTCAAATCCTTTCCCAATTACTTTAACTTGATAAGATAATAGGTTTTACACAACATGCCTCTCACATACACATTGTGATCCCAAGCTGATTGTATCCACCTCTTGATAAATGAATGGCTATGAATAATTAGTGAACAAACTGTCTTTTTCTCATTCAAAAAATATTTAAATAAATCTAATCAGCAATTACTTGGGTATGATTTATACTAAGTATGAGGACTAATAACACTGAGATTTAATTTATCCTCTAGATATTCTACTGGAACTGTAGATGAGATAGTGACGATCCAGAGTCTAAGTAAAACCTATGGTCAGAACAAGGACTTTGGGTCATCAGTATCGTGTTTACAGTTCCGGTAGAATATCTGTAGGACGAATTAAATCCTATAAAGTTTTGACCAGTATTGCGTGTCTAATCAAAATAAGTAATAAATTATGAGTTTCTGTCACACTAATATGATATGATAGTAATGTCTTCCGATTGGCAGGTCACACGCAATAGGGATATTCTACAGACACATCAGACCAGATTGACGTGGTGGGTGTTTAAGCAGAGATTTGATTCGTTGGTTATAGGCGTAGCTAACATACACTACTATCCGGATTGAGGTACTTGGCTTGCCTGTGTTCGAACGTGGAACTTAATGTTCGGAAGTTCAACGTCTTAACCGTTAAGCCTTAATGGTTTTCTAGAAATGATTCTCCATTCATCAACTTAAATGACATTCAGTATTAATTAAGCTAAATTGCCTTATACTTGTATCGATACTAAAACTATTAAATGAAATCCAACTTCACATTAGGACACCATGAAATTGGTGGATATTTTCCTACTCACAAGAGATTTTGTTTATTCTTTGTAGGTGGTAGGTTGAATTGCTGTCATAAGTTGACAAAAACTGTTGAATCATTAAATCTTAGATTACATTTTATAGATATATTCTATTTTATAATGTTTAAGCAAACAAGATTGACTCCAACGCGTTTCAGCTCCGTACAGTAGAACTGTCTTGACGTTGGTTAATTATAAAATGATGACATTGATTGATTATCACATTTTCGGTGGTACAAATGAAATAGTCCTCTACTAATATAATCAATTATAGCATTGGTTACAAGTCAGTGAAATTCATAATAAGTTTTTACATTTTGTCCACAATTCTACTGTTGATATTTCTTTTCTCTTATTATTTGTTTATACATTACTCTTACGACTGAATCGTTTATCTGTATAGCTTTTATTGTCTGATTTAGTTTACAAAATAAAACAAATGCTTTACAATTGAACATTCTAGGTCAGAGAAGATAACATCTTTAAAATTCTCTTCTTGAACTACAATACTTTTTAATCTAAGTATGTTTATTATTCTTAGGCCACAATATGGTTTTATTTTCATACTAATTTCAAATAACTCACCCACCATAGAACTAACTGTAATAAAATAGTGACCGGTCGATATTTTCTGTTTCACACACAAATGATTATTTAAATTTCACTGGGTAAAATAAAAGTAAACATATGCTTGTTACCGTACAGTGTGTATGCACGTTTAAATATGCAACTACTTAATAACAAAATAAGTAGGCTAACAATATTAGCAAAAAGTGTAGGATGTTGAAAGCACGTCAACTGATTTTGCGGAATACACTACCGAATTGATGTTTGTCGACAATCCACAGTGAATTTCCGATGAAAAAATGATAATCAGAAACGCTATAAGATAAACCTATCCAAACATATATATCGAGTATTTTACCAAGTAATTTATTCTCATGTTCCATCATATATTTTCTACAGGATTCGAAAATTTGGGTCACTAACTCTACAGTTTCAGTACTCATATGTAGAAAATAGTTTTGTCGACACACACATATTTTTCTAAAACTACGTAGTCATGGGACATGAATTCTTTTTCTTAATTTTCAAAGTACTTTGAGTATTCGAGTATGAAATTACTTATTCACATTGATTATTTTTTCACAAGCAATTCATCTGTCCTCGTACCATTTAGATATTATTAATTATCTGTAGGAATTTATCTCTAACTGATTGAAAGTGAAATAACAGTACTAGATGCTGACTCATTGATTTAGATAGCTAAATGTTCGGCTGTATTCTGTTCCTAGTAATGTCATGGGTGCACACGGATTAGGAGTCTCATGGTGGGACGAAATAGCTGTCTAGTGCTCCCTGGTTTTCAGTGGTACCCAAACTTATATCAATCTGTGATGAATACAACCTACACATTAGTAATTGTTCGTTTTGGTGTGCAGTAATTTTCGGAAGTTATAAACCATTCTATAAGTGTTGGACATCGGCTATTGGTTGGTTTTCTCCATTATTATATTAAAACGCTAGATCATCAGTTCTTTTTTGAAGAGAAAATTAATTATGTAATTGTACATGAAGGTAAAAAAGAATTATATCATTCACTATTTCATTTGTTGTTTGAACGAACGTTGTTTATTGTCATTTTTTTCAATATACATTTCTCTTTAACTAATTTTATTTTCCTCTTTATATTCCATAAATCATTCCTTCGAATTAAATGATAGGTTTCTAAAATTAAATCATTAACCATTTTGAAAAATGCCGATCTTACTGCAATACATAATTGGATAAAGAATCAATGCAATAGTTTAGTACGTGAAATTACATTTAGTAATGCAGAAGAAATCACTGAAGAACGTTTACCATTAATGTTATTATTTTATAATCCAGATAATAAAACAATTGTTAATCGTTTCATGGAATTTGTCAATTCACATTTAAGTCATCATCAATGTAAGTTTTGTAAATTTGTGTTTGTTTGTTTTAGTAGAGTTAGTTCATGATCATCATCATTATTATTATCTTTGTTATTGTTGTCAATTGTCTTGATTGGTTTATTTATAATGTGCATTCTGTATGTTTACGTTTTGCACAATGGAGTACCACTAATACTACGACTACTAATACGATTATTATTATTATTATTATTATTATTATTATTATTATTACTATTACTACTTTTACTACTATTACTGTCTTGTTAGTATATTGAACATTTAACAGCTATAGCTGAACATTGATTTCAAGCTTGCATAATCTCTATAAATCTTAGATACTTGAATGAAATTAATTTTTATAAAGAAACAGAAAAGAAATAGAAACATGAATTATGCTAAAAAGTTTAATAGAGGATGTGTGTTTCATTCTATGTTAGGTCTGGTCAGATAGATGTACTAACATTTTAGTGTTCATAATCACATGTTCCCGGCTTTGAACCTCAGAACATAAACGAAGCGTACGTCCTTGCCTTATTTATTTATTGATTTAAACACATAAACATTGATACAAGGAAGCACCAAATAAATATGCGTCACATAAATTATTCGGTTAATGTGAGGGCTAGGATACTGCCCGGATGCCCAAACAGGAGCAGGCGGTTTTCTTAGGGGGCCATACCAGGAGCCTTTGACCTAAAGGTCTAATCCACAAGGCAGTGGAGCAACATAAGGAGATGCAGTCCCATGGTAGCTGGTGACCAATATTTGGTTCATACGCCATTTGTTCCTTCAGGATCCTGAAGCCCATGTACAGCATTAGTTTGGAATGAGGATTTTCCAACTCCTCTGGATGGATCCTCCATATTCAGCAACCCGGTTAAAGCGTCGGATATTAGCTTTTCTTCTTCTCAATTTCGTAAACAACACCCGTGGTGTGAGAAGATAGTGAGTAGGACGTTCCTGTCAGTGGTTGCATGCACATGGCCATGTGAGAGTATTTAGCGAGGGAGAGCTGACTCTCCGAACTCTCGGCCGTACCATTTGGGGCTTGATATAATCCGTCTATTTTATATGAAATTGCAATAAAATGACTATATCGAGGCAGTTTGCTCTGTGTGCATGTGTACTACATTTACCTTCCTGTTTCGATCACCTCATTTGTATCATTAGCTCTTGTAGAAAATTAACAAAATATAGCTCGAAGCCGGCTATTTAATCATGTCAGTCTGTTATAAGCAACATAGACCCTGGGTCATATGTTTATCGGTTCAGTTTGTCACCTCATATCATCACAATGAAGGGGAATTATCAAGGCTAATCCTGGGGTAGTGGGAATGTTAAGAGTATCAGTTGCAGTCAGAAAGATTAAACGGAGAATATAACTGGAGAAAAAAAACAGTTTTCCGGAATTAATAAGGAAAGAATTTATAAGATAAATTTTACACTCAGGATATTTCTAAAGGACGATTATTTTGATTCATGTTGCCCAACGTCTATCCACTGGAGATGATAGTCACACAGACCTGAACCTGAAAGTTCTCATCTACCAACATACATCAGTGTAACAGTCAATGACTTCATGAACTGATCTCAAGTTTTGGTTCTTCTAACCTACTCTTACATTAGCCAAAGCCGCTCGTCAAAGCCGGCAGTAGTTGAAAATAGATAATACATCTATCAACAAAGTCGATGAAGATCCACTACCATCTCATCAACCGAATTCTCATCTGCATCTTGTAAATTAGGCGTCTCATCTCGATAGTCCCACCATGTGTTGGTATTGCTTCAATGGGGAGTTTGACTAGATGCTAGGAACCTATAATTACCACCTACTTCCTAACTGCACGCTTCACAAATATGTACATTTGATGCTCACGTTAACGCCATTCAAAATGTTGAATAATTTCAAGACATTTAAATGAACATATTTTGCTTGATTGAGCAACAGTAATAATAATAATAATAATAATAATAATAATAATAATATTAACTCACCTTATATTATTTATCTTTTGTTGTAATTACATCCTATTTTTCCCCATTTATTAACGTTCAATCCTTTTGACCTCCGTACCCCCTTCACCGTCGTCATAATCCAGCCACAATCAATTTTGTAACAGCAAACGGAATCACTTTTTCACATCCATTAGCTCATCTAGGCAAATCTAAAGAAGATCTACCGTTTATCTGTTTAGACTCATTTGCACATATGTATGTATATCCTGGATCAATAGAGATGGCATTAAGGTTAGTTGAATACTCTGTTCTTTTGTGTTGTTTATATGCTGTCATTGTTATATGATTTATTTAGATAACTTGTTTAGTTACTTAATGATCAGTACATTCTGACCTCTCTCCAGTCCTGTCAAACCTTAGCTTTAATAATTAACTAGGATTGTAAACACTATATTGAAGAATGGAATTTTGTCAGTTGATTATTGTGACCATAAGTTCTTTGTTGTTTAGTTAGATGTTTTTGATCTTGATTGAATACAAAATGGTGGTAAAACAATATAACATTTTATCATTCATATCAATCCACACTGACAAACACAGGCATGAATTCTATTTGAAAAATGTCAGCTCTAGATCGATAATTTCTGGAAGAATAAAATTCAGGCAAACCTGTAATTAACAGTATATCTGTATGGACGCTTTTTACCAACCTATTCATAATGAGTTAACCAATCTATATTACTCAGTCAGACTGACGTCGTCAGATGTTAACAGAGCAAAATAGTCACTAGAAATGCAAAGACAAAGAAATTTGGTCACATTTCAGAAAACAATCATTCACAGATAGAGTCATGGACATGAGCTAATTTAACGCGCTTATAAATTAATTAAACAGCCCACTTCTACATGAATTAAATGTTAATGATTTTGTTCAGAATAACAGTAGAAGGAACGAATTGAGCGAAGAAATTTCTTTTCAATTAGTTTTTCATCATGGCTCTACACTAATATATATATGATTTAAAATAATGATATAATACTCATTGAGTGGATAAGTTACGTAATAATTACATAATGACATTTAAATTAACATCTAGTATTTTGGGAGGAAGATGATTAATATTCAAAGTAATTATTAAGTCAAGAAGTTGCTATGTTGCATAATATATGAAAAAGAGAAGGAACAGAATTTGTAATGGTTGGTCAATAGAATAGCAGTTACGTAAGAATCAAGTGATGACTGTTGAGAAATTATAAAGTTTAAAAGAAAAGGAAAAAAAAACCAAAATTAAAAACTACAAACCAAATGCTATAAGTATGGAAAATAGTTCAGTTAAATGGAATGTTATACAGATGGCCAAGGCAGCGAAAGTGGTTGAACAAATTTCTTCTGAATGCAAAGGTCAGGTTTATGAACATGGATTGCGATGGCTTCCGCAATGTGTAAAAGGCGCACTCGTAAACTATGTGGTAAATTTGATGGGATATGGTAGATAACCTTAAAAGCTTTATTCAATTCAACTTGGTGACCTGTGTCAACCAAATGAGCGAGAATAGAACTTTTAATCACTTTTACCTGTCCTTTATTTAGCCACGATGGATGATGTTCTGTAATGCGGTGACGAACTTGCCGAATTGTACGCCCTATATAACTGGCTCCACAGGAGCAGTTGAACTGGTAGATACACATAGATTTGGCGAATTCAGGCAGTCTGTCTTTGCTAGTCGTTCTTATTTTGGGGTAGTTATAGAAGATAGTATTCAGTTTGGCTGCATTAAATGTTTTTTGTACAGCTCTTCTTAGTTTCTGGGTCACGATCTCTTCAGTAGTATCATTTATGTATTGTAATTTTATGAATAGTACTTTCTTCGGGACCGTGGGTATCTTCTGTATTTTTCAAATGTCCAAATGGGAATTTTCACTATATAACAGTAGAAGTTTCTCAATTAAACTATGCAACTAAAAGATCACAACATAATCAAGAACATTCACATGAACTAGAAATCTTTGTCATCTGAATGATTGTAAATAATTCTGGTTCACTTTGAATACTTTGAAAAATAATCTCATTTAGATTAGATGTAGACTATTTGGTTGGGGTTCGCCCGATTCTCATAACCAATGGTTGGAGACTATAGGTGAATCAGCTAGGAAGCGTTCATAAAAGCTCATGTGTATACAGTCTCTTCCGAATAATCCAAAGTTTCTGAATTACCTTATGGATTTTTTCGTTCCATTAATCCATATTTCCTTCCTGAATCGATGCTTAATCTTTTTTATTATGATTAATATTGTTACTATTTTTACTGCCCTGAGCTATGGATATGAGATACTGTAACAATTTCATCTCATTGTACGAACAAGGTTTGACACCTTGAACTGATGCACATGTTTCGCAGGTTCTGTGTTGCGTCTGACTAACTGATGTTGCTACAATATACAATGACTATGTATATGTGTGTATGTCCTTCTTCCCTAACTTTTTCCCTTCATATTTCTTTCGTTTGCTCCTTATCGGTTTGTTGGGTTTCTTTCTAGTGATCCAAAACACTTGGATCAGTTTGTTGAAGATCTAAAATCTGGAAAACTACACATGGAATATCATTATGGACCAAGCAGTGAAACAACGACTACATCTCCAAAAACCGTGGATGACGAATCAGTCAAAGTAGGTGATCCAACTATTTATTTATCTATGTCCTGTAATATTACTCAAATGATTTTATCAGTAGGTAATTTATATATAATCTATGATTGGAGCGCTATATTGTTTCTTAATGATGAATAATTACATCATGTAATAACATCAGTGCTACATCATTCACTAGTATTTACTGTTTTATTCCCTCTATATTTCTCTAATTAACTCAAATATTCTATTACAACTCACAATGTTCTACATAGTAGCTGGTTGACGTTAATCTTCTTTACTGCAATGTCTAATGCAACTCAGATACCACATGGACTGACTCATCAATCTTATGTGGTTACCGAAGGATTATACTTATCTATCTAATCCTACTTCACTGTAGTATATTTGGTGTTGGACTGATTTTATTTTACTGTGTAGCACTCACCTGTTGTTGGCCGTCAGTTTGTACACTAGTTATTCATATACTCGTCGTAATTCTATTTGGAATGTTGGACATCAACTCGGGGTGTAATACAAAGTATAAAACATTATAGACCTCTTGGATGAATTTATAATTAACTTGATCAGTACTGTTTTACAGGGTTAGTAAACGAGATCTATTTCAACTGATGATTTTCATTTATCAATAGTTTTACTTTCAAACTATCGATGAGCAATGCGTAGTATTTAAGAATTAAAACAACTTGACTTGTTCCCAAATACTCATTAATTTATCATCATGAAGTCATGTATTTACATGAATTTACTTCTTAAAAGATAAAAACTCTGTTAGATACAATTTACAAATGAGAATCAATTGAAAAATCCTAACTGTTCTATTAGACTAGCCAAATAGATTATGTGTCATTACTTCAATGATTATTCAGTTAGCGTATTCAAATCTTCATATGTTTTGAATTCCGACTACTTTGAACTGTTGACCAGAAGTTACCATTCTATTAACAGTTCTTCTATGCATATAAACGTATTGAGAAGTAACTGTAAACTCAATTTAATCACGTAAAACCTATTCACAAACACCGTATAGCGAGTTCCATTGGTCAAACACGTCACTTTTTGTCCTAATGTTTTCAACTACTTTTTTCGTTTAAGTAGTATTAGGTCACTGTAAAAAAATCTTATTGACTAAAACATTTCTTTGTTTGTTTATTTTATTTTGGTTGTAGACTACACCACATGTTTCTGTATTCCAACATTTAAGTCCATCAAGAATGCGATATACAATTATACATGATGAATTCTAACAAAATATAAACATATAGGTATATGTATACACATAGTCTGGCATCCTGTAATTTTGTTCATATGACACATCTTCTTTTTGAATACATTAAACCTATAGAATTGGGAAAAGGAACATGATTGATGTTTTGTGTTCTGTTCTCACTATTTCTCCCTCTATCTACACGTACGTTATTTTTTGTACGATCAATTCTATAATTTCTTTACTTATAAAGGTTTGTATGTGTGTAATGCTATTGCATGTGTACACATGCATGTTATCCTCTACTTCTTGTTCTTCTCACCATCTTTCTTCTCTTAGTAAGTGCCATTATTTTGAATGAAACAATCATTATTCTGGTTGTTTATTTTCCTTTTAAGAGTCATTTTGTTGTTGTACATTTTTTCTACTCAAAAAAAAACATAATTGAATAAATAAATAATAATTCGAATAGACGACAATATGACTGTGAATGTATTGTTAAAGGGAGCGAGAGAGAGAGAGGAAGTTCTTCTAAGAGTTGTTTGTCTCTGCTCAGTTTGAATCTGCTTTTCTTTCTCCCTCTCTCTTTTTCTAAATATCTTATTGTACTTTCAAACTGTGTTACTTTGAGTAGTGAAGTATTTTGTTCATTAATTTGACTAGTTCACTATGTACTATGTACTCTTTTATTGAAAAAAAAAGTTTTGTAATTAGATCATTTCTTTTCTAATTATTATTGTTATTGTCTTTCATAGTTTCTTATTTCTTATTACTACTAATATTATAATTGTTATGGATGACTATGTTTGTGTGTGTGTGTGTGTGTTGTACATTGAAATAGTTCACTTCTGTAAGTGTGTAATGTTATGGTGTAATAAGTCTATAATAATCTGTAGTATGCGCGTTCTTCCCCCCCCCCACACACACACAAACAAACGCTGTAGAGTGTGAGTAAATTAAAGTGAAAGTGATCAAGAAAGCAACAGAATATATAAAGCATATAATTTACTGGATGGTGGTTAACGTGACTAAGTTGAGAGTTTGTTTTTTTTCTTCCAGTAGTTTGCCTTTCGTTTGTTTTTTCTTCTCACGAAAATTTTACTTTTATAATCAATTTTATGGTGAATTAGAGATCTGTATTTCTTTTTTTGTTAACCGGATGATGGGGTTTCATTTTGTAATTGTAATGTTTGGACTTATATTATCTTTAACGTACACAGTAACAATAATAAAGGAACTCTAACATGTGAAAATGATTTTTGTGTTTTTTTTTCTGTCTTGCTCTATTTCTGGCAGTTTATGCTTTGTGTAAAGCAAGTGAAGATACTAATGACCTCGAAATTGAGTATAAGTTGATATTGAACATTGAATTGAATTTCGATCAAGAGTAATCACCTACATACTTTCTGTATGATAAATATAATCTATTTGAACTACATATAGCTAAATACCGGTAAACAGTTATTTAATAAAGATATCTACGACGATTAAACCATATTATCACTGCTAAGTCAATATCAAGATAGCTAATTCTAATTGTCTTTGGAAAGTTAGATCAAATTGCATTCTGATACTTTTGTAAACCAACCTATTAGTCTACAGAAAACGGGAAATACTTCGAAAACTTTACTCTAAATGTTAGTTTATCTACAAAAAACATAAGGGTGTTTATAGGGCTACGGTTAAATGAGCATTTCTAGGAGGTTTTTAGGAAACATTCTAAAATTGTTAACAAATTTCATGACAATTTAATCAGCATAATGTGAGCGTAAAACATCGCTTTCTAGAATCTTTTTGTAAGTTTCCAAAGGACGTTGATTGGTTGGATTATTTTTAGACTTCTAAATGCTTTCAAGGAATTTTCAAAGTCTCAAGAAATATCAAAGATAAAATAGTAGTCATTATGTAATATAAAACAATAGAATATAGGAATTATTAATGGAGGAGAGTTGATAATCTGACCCAAATGACGATTTACAGTTAAGAGGGTTAACTATATTAGAGCTGAAAACAACAAGCATTTATCTTTAAACAAAGTTAAATAATAGGTAGCCATGAGATCTATGTGGCGCATTTCGTCCTACTTAGTAGTTGTCAGTGGGATATACTTGGATATTCGATAACCTAATGAGTAGCGCATTCAATATCTAAAGTTAATGAATTTATATTCACGTGTTGATGTGACCATTAAATTTGCGGTGAATGTTTTCCAGCTGAATGTAAGGAAACTCACACACTCAGAAGATTATCATTTCAATAGTTGTCGAATTTCTCACCACAGTAACCAGAGATAAAACACGTATCTGTGAATTACGTAAATATCACTAATCATATGATTAGTACAACTCACGGTTCTATTCTGTATGTTTTTGTTTATCCGATCTGAAAAGTGTTATTGAGATTAAACTGAGAATACCGTTTCCAGGTACATAGTAGATTTTTGAATGCAGGCGATGTAATTTGAACTTTACTACCAAGGTAAAGATTATCATCTCAGGTTTTCCTCAAAGGTAGTTTTAGTATAAGACCTTTGCTACTCATCTATGTTTGTTCATAGAAGTTTAAACTTGATATACGTCCATCTTACTTCATTCTTTGCTTTCATCTTTTTGTAGATTACACTAAACTACTTATTAAAAGCTAATAGCTTGAATATATTTAAACATTTTAATGATGCGTATATTATAACTGGACTGGTGTCAGATACGTTTATTTGTGTTGGCTCACCAATAAAGAAGTTATTTCATGGATGTTTCAAGTTACTATTGCTTTAAAGAACAATGTTTTGTTGATTAAGGTCCACATATTTCTACTAGTAGGTCACAGATTTGAATTCTGCTACATCTACTTCAATTAAAGCAACCATATATTATCCATAACTTGCATAAAAACGTATAGTTCATAGCCGAAGACATGATCATATACTTAGCAAATGAATTAAAGGTGAAGATTCATCTACTGTATTAATAATCTACATATACTTCACCATTAAATTAGAGCTAACTGTACAGGTGAGTAGAAGTTCTTCCATATTTTCTTCGATAGTAAAAGTATAACTAGTTTAGTTATAATTAGTTTATTCATAAAGTTTTCAATGTTCAAGAATTTTACAGTATCCAGCATATTCAATTTTTAAATGTATTGCATATGAAAGAGTAATTTCCACTAAAAATTTCATTTTCAACAACTGAATGTATTTGAACACAAAATTACAGATCTAAGAGCCATGCAAAATGTCGATCAGTTGTTTCAAACTTGATTGCTTTCTTTGCGAATATCAGTTAATTGTCTCAGATTTCAGTGTTTCTGCATTTTCATACCAACTGCTTTCTGTTACCGTTCTTTTCTTCTCGGTATTCTGCTGCCAGATATTCTATTCCTGACTATCGTTATATACTATATATGTCGATATAAGTGCGCTACCATACACCACATCAGTACAATCACTATAAAATAAGTGAACAACATAATTGAAGATATTCAAAGAGAATACTGGAAAATCAGTAAGGATATTATAGTAATTTAATAGTTGAATTCATCGTGAATGCGTGTTACTGAAGGGTCTCGTACTAGGACGAAACTACAATCCACTGATTCCAGGTTTTTCATGGTGGTCTAGCTTCAATTGACTCATGTATTCAACTATTAAGATACTAGGAAAGTTATTTTTTCTTCGAAACACATTCATAAGTGTGTAAAACATACTTACGCCTGCCCCCAAATGCCCTGTTACGGCCGAAAGTGGGGAGAGTCCGCTCCCCCTCTCGAAATGCTCTCACATGGCCATGCGTATATAGCCTCTCCCAGGGAAGTCCTACTCACTGCCTTCTCGTGGCGGGAGTGTTGTTTACAAAAATGAGAGGACGAAAAGCGAATGTCTGGCGCTTTAACCGGATCACAAACCAATGGTGCACATGGGCTCCAGTATCCTGAAGGAACAAATGGCGTATGAACCAATCGTTGGTCACCGGCTACCATGGGACTGCATCTTCTCACGATGCTCCACTGCCTTGTGGGTCAGACGTTCAGGTCGAAGGCTCGGGTTGTGGCCCTCTAAGAAAACCACCTGATTCGGTTTGGGCACCCGGGCAGTATCACAGCTCTCACACAAATCAATTGAGATTTGTGTGGCGCATATGTATTTGGTGCCTCCCTGTACCTATACTTATGTGTTAAAATAAATAAATAAATTCCCAATGGAGCATAGGCCACTGACCATCATTCGACAACCCACTCTATCCTGGGCCATCCTTTCTAGTTCTATCCAATTGTTGTTCATTCTTCTCATGTCTGTCTTCATTCGTCGACGTAATGTGTTCTTTGGTCTTCTTCTTTTCCTTTGGTCCTGAGGATCCATGTGAGTGCTTGCCTTGTGACGCAGCTGGGTGCTTTCCTCAATGTGTGTCCTATCCACTTCCCATGCACATCTTCCTGATTTCTTCCTTCGCTGGAATCTGTTTTGTTTTCTCCCACAGTAGGTTGTTGCTGATAATGTCTGACCAACGGATCCGAACACTTTTATCTTCTGGATGATGGCTTCCGTAGTGTTCCGAGTTTCCGCCTCATACAGTAGAACTGTTTTGACATTTGTGTTGAAAATTCTGACTTTGGTGCCGGCTTGCGAACCGTTGTTTCGAGTTCCAGATGTTCTTCAGTTGTAAATTTGCTTCTCTTGCTTTGACGATCTGTGCCTTCACATCTTCATCAGATCCACCGTGTTCATTAATGATGCTGCCTAGATATGTAAAGGCTTTTACATCTTCCGAAGCTTCCTTGTCAAATGTGATTCGATTGGCGCATGCCATGTGTAAAACATATACCCAATAAAATAATTCAGTAATATTAAATATATCAAAGATGTTATAAATTGATTATATAAATGAAGGCCAATAATCAATAATACAATGTTCCTTTAATCAATTTTATTGATTGATCATCTGAATTAATTTTTTTTGCGCGCTCTCTCTCTCTCTCTTTATCTTAAAATTGATTTTTTTTTTAAAACAACCAAGATAACATGAATAAATTTACATACACTTAAAAGTACATTCAATGAATAGTTTAATGCGCTTTTTTTGGATTAGTCAATATCATACCATGTGAACCGTTTTTTTCGATGATTACAGCTTTAATTACAAACTTTTTGTCCCCATTCATATCTAGGTTACTTTTAACTTTCATCTAACTAATTTATGTAATAGTTAGTATGGTGAGCTGGCATAGTCAACGCCTAAATACACACTAAAACTATACGCCAATGCCCTAATTAGGCTGAAAGTAGGAAGTGTGATGAAAAGTAGTCTTTTGGCACCTATACTTAGTTTGTGGATATGGTGGGTCTAATTAAAGTGATTGAAAAGATCCAATCCTGAAGAAATGAATTGTATGAGACTATATTCTGATAATCAATAGTCTAGTGACTAAATCTCCCGACGTTGTTTTTATAGTACATTATGGATTGAACGTTTAAGTTAAAAGCTCTAGAAGTGATTCCTTAAGCTAACTACCTGCTTCGGTTTGAGCATCCAGGGTGTATCCCGGCCCACATACAAATATGACAATGAATAATTAATAGGAAACTGTTCTACTCTTTATTCTCTAAGGATTACTCAAACGAAATTAGCAATCATTTTATTATAAATTAATTTGTTACTTTTTCCATCCTTCTGCTTCATTTTGTGTTTACTTTCATTTTTTAACATATTCAGCAATTCGTCTTTGTTGAAAGTTCTTTCCTATTCAAACCATTGAAGCTTCACTATGATACAGGTAGGATAATAGGTAGTTTAGCCGTCATCCCAGAGATTCACACACTATACATTTTTATCGATGATGAAATTAGATAAAGTTTATAATATGGTCCCATGGTATAAAAGATAGCTGGAATCTATCGCTTTATCACAACTCTTCAACAGTGGTCTTAGAGATTGTAGAATCCTGTGAATAGAGACGTCCGTCCGCACCCAAATTCTCTGGTAGGGCCGAGAGTGGGGAGAGTCAGCTTTCCTCCTCCAAATGTCCATCACATTACCCGGTTCGGTGAATATGGAGGATCCATCTAGGGGAGTTGGAAAAAACTCATACCAAACCAATAGTGCACATGGGCTGCAAGATCCTAAGGAAACAAATGGAGTATGAACCTGTTGTTGGTCCCCGGCTACCATGGGACTGTGTCTCCTGAGGTTGCTCCACTGTCTTATAGATTAGACCTTTAGGTCAAAGGCTCCGGGTGTGGCTCCATAAGAAAACCACTTGCTCCAGTTTGGGCACCCGTGCAGTCTCCCAACCCTCACATAAATCGAATGATTTATGTGACACATATCTATTTGGTGCATCCTTGTACCAATGTTTATTAGCTTAAATATTAAATAATAATAATCAATCTTAATCAACACACAAATAATGTAAGTCCAAGTTGTTTAAGCGTATTAACATTAATATGAATAGTAAAGAAGTAGAAATAATGATACCATCGATGATAATGAAAACGATTAAACACTCGAAGATATTTTTGAAGAAGATAGAACGGAAAAAGTATTTTTGATGAATTAGCGTAAACTTAATATTTAGAGGAAAATGGACAATGGATGAATCTGCACCATTTTAACTGATTCTGACAGTGGATCCTAACCACGTAGTCTGCATCTAATAATATGACTCAGAAAATAGACAATGGTTCTATACAACTATGCCACGTTTTAATTTAGTCTTCTTGAAGTTTCTTCCAACTTTCACATACATCT